TTTTGGTTTAATTTTGGTTTAAAATCTAGATAATTATAGTATCACAGGTGTGTTATGAGGATTTAATGTGGCAGTACACATAAAGTGCTTGAGTAGTGCCTGGCACACAGTAATCTGCTCCATAATGTTTCTATTCTTACTATGTAACCTTTGAGGAGAATATGCAGTCTGCAGCCATACCACCCAAACATGCACGATTACATCTGATCTCGGAAGCTAAGCAGGGTTGGGCCTGGTTAGTACTTGGATGGGAGAATGTACAGTTGTAATGTGCTAGGACCACAGACTACTTGAAAAATGTGGTTTTGGAAAACAGAGAAGATGACTGGAAACTTAATTATGCTTGACAGAGATCCCATGGTCATGTTCTGTGAAAAGATGCCTTTGTTTTGTTAAGAGCATGTTGGGAATGGAAAGCCGAGGGCCTGGTGAGACCTCACTGATGCCCTTATAGGAGCCCAATTGTTTCTTCTGGTGGGATATTAGAGTGTCGTAAAAGCCATTGTTTCAGTCTCCTGGTGAATACTTATGAGCAGTAAACAAGAGTTAGGGCAGCTACATAATATTTGTCGAAACCAAGAAGGTGGTGCTGTTATCCTTACACTGGAACAGAGGGCACAGACAGAGCAGTTGCAGGCAAACCAGAATAACTCTGAGGCATGGTATATGCACTTTCAATACATATCTGGCCTGGCTGGTTTAAGAACCTTCCTAGGTAATTATGCCTTTACCTTTCAAGTAGAATGTTACAGAAGAAGATAAATGGATCATTTATCCAGCCTCATTTAGTTTATCTCATTAATACATAAAAAACCTACAGTTGATTTTATGTCTCAGCTACTATCCCCAGTCTCAGTGTTAGCTCACTGGGGAAGGGGAAGGGGCCAGTTCCTGTTCCCTGTCATGGATTGGAAAGTAGTGGAGACAAACATGGATGGCATGAGTTAAGAATGTAACTTTTCTTTAAACCTGAATTTTAAACCAGTGATTAGTTCCCCTGGATTAATTCTATTTCTTTAACAGAGAATCATAACCAGTAGAGTTTAGTTCACCCAGGTCCCTCACTTGACATCTGAGGACAATGAAACTTACTCAGATTAGTGGCTGGCTTTCCCTGGTTGTTCACCTTGGCGTCAGAACCAGACTGGAACTCAGGTTTCTGCTATTGAATCCAGTGTTCTCTTTGGTACCATGGTTAAATCATCAAAGAATTCCATGTCTAAGTAAATTAAATAATCCTCTATGTCCTTTACTGTTGAAGCTGTCTACCAAAAAAAGTATAAAATTTGGGAATTATTTACATCTGGCTTTATCCCCTTGAGAGAACATTTGGATTTGAGTGCAGTGGCACCCTGCCAGTGACAAATGGAGGCTGAGACTGCCTTCCCATCATCCGCTACCTTTTATGGTGTCTAGGGATTTCTTGCTCTCCTTTGTGACCCAGCTGCAGAACAGCTGTTGTTGAGAGGCTCCTGCTTTTCCACTCTCACAGGGCAGCTTTCCTAACCATCCCCACAGGATTTAAACCTCTGCAGCAGGAGTGTCAGTGCTGAGTGCTGTGAGCCAAGGCCGTCTCCATGGGGGCCGGTCAGCATAGCCTCTTCCCAAGCTGTTGCTAAAGGATCGGGGATGGAGCCATCCAGCTAATGTTCAAAAAGCTGGTCAAGGCAAACAAGAGGCACCATTGCCCAAATGCCCAGCTTAATGGTTGGTATTGTTGCTCATCGCTAAGATTTTTAGCTTTCTAACTGCACTAATTCCTTAGACCAAGATCACATTGACCACCTTATCCATTTGAAAGGAAGTTTCCTATTGGAAACCATTTTCCGTGAACTTTTAGTGCCACTTTATGGACCACAGATTGCTGACTGAAATATGTTTTTTTTTCCTTGTAGAGAGGAGGTATTGGTGATAATGAAACTAGGGGCTAGTTACCTTCTGGGCATCACTTAGGCCTTAAGACTGAGTCACATTTACCCACTGGAAACTATGCCATACCTCACTGAGGCAGCGCTACTTCCCAAAGAGGGTACACACTACACAGGTGTGTTTAGAGTGGTTGCTTTTTCAAGATATTTACATTTCCATGTACTTTTGACCACCTGCTATGCATCTGGCCCTTATAAGAAGGGTTGATTAAACCACTCTCCTGAAGTCATTTACAAGTAAAAGAGAAGATAACCAATGGTGATTGGAGTACATATGTAAGTGTCAACAACAAAAGTAGGAATCAAGTGCCTTTGGAGCACCCAAAGCTCAGTTTAAAGGATCCTGCACAGTTTAGTTTGGCCAAAATTGTAAACTTATCTAAGACTTCTAAAAAATACTTTTTTGAGTTTCTTTTCCTTCTAATTTTCAATAGAACTAAGAAAAAACCTAGACATGAATTTTTTAGACCCAGTTGTGATTTATGTTTTGTCTTTCTGTGTTTTTTCTTCAAAACTCTCAATGTGTCTCATCCCCTTCTGCTGACAGTATCACTTCCCCTCCCCTTCACAGCCAGATGTGGCAGAATTGTCTGCACTAAGGTATCCATTTCCACACCCCAGTCCCTGGAGACCCCCTATTCCTTTTGGCTTTAAGGCCCATTCCATAGAAACGCACCATTCTGAGGTTACCAGCCATCTCTCTGTGTCACTAAGTCCAGCAGATGTTTTAGGCATTTGACCTACCTTCGGAATTGACTTATGCTGTTTTCTTGAAATACAACTTTATCTTGCCTTTGGCTTCTCATTCAGCCTGATTGACAAACTGCATCCTTGACATCACAGATATCTCATAGGTACCTCAATCTCTACAATTCTCAAGACTGGGTTTATACTGTTACTCCCTTAACCCATCCCTCCCTGCCCCATATTTCCTTCAATTCCACAATCAGGAACCTAGCAGTCATCATGTTACCTCATCTCCCCAGCAGAGTCCCCCCAACACATACACCTTTTCTGTCCATATTGTAGTCCTCTCTGCATTATCTGAATATTCCTCATGTCAGTCCACTAATCCTTACCTCTGTTATCAACCTCATTCACTCTTTTTTAAAAGCCTGGACTAATGTGCCTACATCCCTTCTGTTCTCATCCCAATGTTATCCATACTGTCCTCAGAGTGATATTTATAAAGCATATAACCACATATTCCCTTGTGGCCAGGTGTGCTCTACTCACCCCTGCTTTTTTACCTGGTCCACCTCTACTCCTGTCTCACTCACCTCTGCTCTGTGTAGTGTTTCTGTTTTCCTGCCACGGAGACTTTACCTTTGCTGGACCTCTGCTTAGAATACCTTGTCCCCCTTTCAACTGGTTAATCAAACAGATCTTTCAGATTTTTAGAGCAAGCAGCAGTCCCTTTGGAAACCTTTCCTGAGTGGGATTCATAACCCTCATCTGTGTGCTCAGTAACAGCTACAGTTTGGGAAGCATCATGGGGGGGGGGGGAGTTGTGTCTCTTCTTCCCCACTTTCATCCTTGTGCTTAACCCAATGCTAGGCACGTGATAGGTCCTCAATACGTATTTGTTGAATAAAGGAAAGAAATGAATAAGTTCAATGAACAGCTGAAAGTTCATTGTTTTAATTAAAAATAGACATTTTTCTGTTTGGTTTGTGATTCAAAGATATATGTGTTATTCTAAAGTCTAAAAATAGCCAATTTTAACACTTAAAATGATTTATGTAATTTAAAGTAAAATTCTATAACTTAATTATAAATTTTTTTCAAACATAATTTCTACTTACTTCACCACAAGTTGCCTTTTAACTTGACTTTGAGCTTAATATAAGCAGTGCTGTGTACCAGCCTAAGTCACTTGACCAAATGGAGCTTAAGATGTGGTTGTTTCTCATCACATTACTTATCTCCCACTGAAGTGTTCTCACACTATGTGTGGATGGCCTCCCTAAGCTTAAAGGGAAAATATACAAGTGAACAGATTTAGAAAGGATATGAAAACTTGTGATATAACAGGAAATGTAAACAATCTAAACATCTTCAGTTATGTAGTATTTTTTAAATTAGCTTTTCTGTGTTTATACCTTAAAATCTAACATATAATTTATATATATATATATATTTTAAAGATTTATTTATTTATTTTTAGAGAGGGAAGAGAGGGAGAAAGAGAGAGAGAGAGAGAGAGAGAGAGAGAGAAACATGAATGTGCAGTTGCTCGGGGCCATGGCCTGCAACCCTGGCATGTGCCCTGGCTGAGAATCGAACCTGCAATACTTTGGTTCACAGCCCATGCTCAATCCACTGAGCTATATCAGCCAGGCTAATTTATATATTTTTTAAATTATCAATTATTTTAAAATTTATTAAAGGCAAGTTACTTATTTAAAACAGTTCATTTAAATAGTCCTAAACGTTTATATTTTATGATGCTTTTTAATATATTTTTATTGAAAATGTGATTAAAATAAAAAGTTTTTTATTTTTTCCCTGTTTTGCTTTCTTGGTAATCTTATGCATCTTTACCTTTCATTTTCTTTTCATGCAAGGTACCAGTTAGCTAGTGTTCTTTACCCTTGACTACGCCTGGTCTGTAGCCTCCTATCTGGCCAGTCTTTTTGAGTTAGTTCTCCAGCTTGTCTTGTCCTAGCCTGTCAGTCAAACAGAACTTGATTACTCCTCTACACATACACCTTCTTACTGACACTTGTTCCCACACAGTCTCTGCCCTGTGATGACATGATGCCTGCATTCACCTAGGTGCTGCAAGCTTGCAAGCTGCTGAGTCATCTTTAATTCTTGTTTTCATGTTATTCCTGTACCCAATTCATCAGTCACCCATCTTCAGGAGATTCCACATCTAACCATATCTCGCTGCTTCTGCTGCTTTTACTTTACTCTTAGCCATGGAGTATTAATAACCTCCTAAGGGGTCTTTCTGTTTTCTCTTGTGCATTCCCTACAGTCAGTTTTTCCACCCAAAATCTACAGTTTTTTTTACACCTTTATGTAAATTCCTCCATGGTGTTCCTTCCTAGTAAAAAAAAAACCCCACTGCTTTCTTCAGCAGCACGTACTCTAAAATTATAATGACACTGAGAGGATTAGCATGGCTCCTGCCCAAGGATGACACACAAATTCATGAAGTGTTCCATGTTTTGTGCAGTTCTTGGAGGCAGTTTGACCCTTTGCTTGTTAACATCAAGGAAATATATGAGTCAGAGAAACATGTGGCATCCAATATTGAAACTGTGGTTTGGACTACGAAAACAGAAAATTCATTCCAAACTTCTCACAGTGCATGCTAGGTCCTACCTGATCTGGTCCTTCCTGTCTCTCACAGTCATTTCCTATGATTCTTGAGAGCTTGTTTGGAGGTTCTAGCAGGGGAGCGCAGCTGCTTGTATACCCTTGGCCGAAGACCGGTCCTCTCCTCTAATTAAGAAGGTCATCCTCTTCAACCAAGCCACGCAGCTTCAGGAGGGACACACATGGATCCGTGAGGGAGGAAGGGGACACCCACCTAGCCAGCCAGATCAACCGAATCAACCCTGGCGATCAATGGGGTGACAGATGTCGCAGCCAGATCGCCCTCACATCCTCATTTCCTATGATTCTTTGTGGGGTGTATTCCACTGCTGCCATATTGGTGGTCTTGTTAGTCCTAACACTCCATGTGTGCTAGTCCTTTGCATGGCTCGCTCATGCCCTTTACTTAGGTCACTTCTCAAATGTCACTAAAGGCCTTTCTTAACCACTTTATCAAACGTCACCCCACCCCATCCCCAGTAAAGGATGGCTCTGTTCCATTAGCCTGCATTATTGTAGACCATCTGACAGTGCCTGTGTAAAGTATCCATTATACCTTGTAGGCTGTGAACTGCAGGAGGGAGGGAACTTTGTCTTGATTACCAAGATCTGGAACACAGCCTGTCACATAGCAGGAGCTTATTCCATTTCTGGGGAGAGCAACTTCACATCTCTGAAGGCTTATTTTGCCTTTCTCAGTAGACGAAGTCTACTGTGTTCTCCAGACACAATTTCACACTAACACAGCACTATATTTAGTGGTCCACTCTAGATGAGCATTTCTCTCTCCATCACTCTTGAAATATTGAGGGATCAACCCTTTCATTCACCTTTGAAACCCCAGCAGAATAATCTGATGATTCAGATAGTGTTGTTGTCCTCTTAAAAATATTTTAGCTTTTTAAAAAATGTAATTAGGATAGAAACTACAGTTTAAAACCTGTGCATTTCATTTAGCAGTGGGTCATGAAATTCTCTTTTGTTTTAAAACTTTTTCACAAAATCGGTTCATAGTATTTCACTGAAGTGGCATTTAGTTAACCAAGTTTACACTAGTGGACACTGGGTTTGTATAAACAATACTGCAATGAAAATGAATTGCTACCTTTTTTGTATTTACAGGTATAAATACAAAAATCTACCTTTGAACAAATACCTAGAAATAGAATTGTTTGGCTAAAGTGTATCTGTGATTTAAAGGCTTTTGGTATATATCAAATAGCTCTCTAGAAGATCCTATCAAATTTTATTGTTTTTTAGCTATGTGTGATATAAGCACCTATTTTTATGAACCCTTAGTAATACTGAGTTCTAATATTTTGGAGGGAGCCTCACTGATAGAGGAAAATAATAGCATCTCAATGTGTTTTTCAGGAAACACATTGTGCATTTCAGGAAAATGAAATATTGAGTAAGTTTAACGTATTTTTGTAGGGATAGTGGCTGTTATTTTTTGGTACTTGTAAACTGTCATTTATTTTTTGTTCCTATTGCTCATATAATATGCCTGCCATTCAGATGAGAAACTCAGCATGTGCATGATCCACTTTGTCATCTTTGAATGAAATTCAGGGTACTGCCGTCTTCCATCACACTTGGTCAGCCATTTAATTTCAGCCTGTTTTGTGGCCTCCTTCCCTCCCAGGGTTTGAACTAAATCTGAAAGGCTTAATGATGCTCACAAAGCTGGGGAGAAGCTGCCCTCATCATCTCGGTCTGAGGTGATACCTCCACTTTGAAGTCTGATTGCTCTGCAGTAGGACTTGGGATGGGTTTTAAGGAAACTTTGCTCAGGTTGGGAGTCCTGGTTCTGGGGCCCAGCCTCAATCTAGGCATACATATCATAAAGCTGTCCTTCCCCACTAAGATTTTGACAGCTACTCTGGTGCTGCCCCTGAAAAACCTGAGCACTCCCTGTCACCACTAGCCGCCCTTAGTGCCATTTGATATATTTCAGTGAACTTGGACTATAAGAATATATTCCAGGTATCTTTCATGCAGCTTCTGCTTTGGGGCATTTAGGAAAATAGGTTACAGAAGGCCTGCTATAGAAAATGGGACTTGGGAGAAAATTCAGAGAGGAAAAACACAATCTGTTATCAGTAAACTGTTCAGCCATGTTCATTTTTGTACCCAGTATTCTTATTCTATTATATTTTAGTGCATCCCAGAAGAAATAGTATTCTCTCCCTAAAATATGAATGCCATGGTCCAATGTGATAATTTGATGGACAAAGTTTTCTGGTAGTATAGAGATAAAGTATTTTATCATGAAAGTTACCATTGCCCCTGTCCCTTCGCTTTGCATCTGATTAAGGTTGGCTCTAGTGGATTATATTCAGTGTCTTGGAGGGACTTGAGAATTAAATGATTTTCTGTAAATCATTTTGATTTGTAAGAATTTGTTAAACTGTTATATTTTTAAAAGATTTTTTTCTTTTGTGGAGAAGACATATCCTGAAGATACTTCACATATAACATTGTGATGTTAAAAAAAAAGACCATCAAATAATGTTCCTTTTGTTTGTAAGTGGTGGTTCTCACAAATTAATTTTTCAGGACTGTCTCTTTAATTGCTTTTTCTTTTCCACTCAAATGCAATGTATATTTAAACAACACGGTTACCAAACTATACTTTTGGCTTTTGGACCTGTTGTATTGGCTGCTTCCCATTTTTATGAATCCGTGCAGATTTACACTTGAATGTGAAATAGAGGTGTGCTTTTCATTGATTGAGGAAAATGACTGATGTTCACAATTGTCAGGCTTTCCAGAGAGTAAACACTAAATGTGTGGAAGTGGCTACAACATACACAACTGCAGAAGGAGACCCTTGCTACTAAATAGGACCATCCTGTGGGAGCTCTGGTTTGTTCTGATTGTTATCCCTAGCGATGCTGAAAACACAGGTAGTCCCTGGTTAGGATGTAAATATTTACTGTAGTTGAGAATTGGGCTATTTCTAAGGAACTCTTTTTTATAGTTTGATAGACCATGGCTCATGTGACAGATTCCACATGTAAAGTGGGGAAATTATTATTTTGTTCACAGCTCTGTACTTTATTGAAAATGTGTGAACATGTGAACTACGTAACTGAGGACTGACTGTAAGGTATTAAGCTATGTGTAGCAAATAGTGGTAGCCTGTGTATTTGTTGACCATTATATTTACAGAAAACTGGGGTGGCTATAGAAGGACAGGTTGAGTCATTTGGGACTAATTTAGTTCATAAGACAAGGGTAATGAACTAGTCACATTTACACCTATATATTCTTAGTTCAATGCAACGCTGCGGAGTCTTGACCTTTTCAGACTTCATTTAGTAAAATGGCAGTTCTGAGCTGTGGCATCAGGACACGTGTGATGATATAACAAGCTGATGTAATGGTTGATATTATCAGTAATTTGTTACCAAACGTAAGTACAAAAGTTGTTTTAAGATTTACTTTTTAAACACAAACAACTCAATCTGAAACCATAATGGTGTAATTCTCTCTTATATATTTTAATATTCCTGAATGGTTTCTTAAGCGGGAGTTCGAGGAGAGTTTGGGAGGAGTGTGTGACACTCACATATAGGTTTATAGTTATTCACATGGAAAATAATGCAGTCGTTAAAAAATAATGCAAGAATACATTGTATTTTGCATACTCACAACTGTAGACCTACTGTTGCCCTATCTGTGTGTGTGCGTGTGTAATGGCCTGATCAGATACAGGTGTTTATTAAGATTTGAGTCAGATTGTAGAAGATATTGATAATTTGATGATTAAATAGGATAAGTGGAAACAAGAATCTATTAAAATATTTTTGCACCTGGCTGGTGTAGCTCAGTGGATTGAGTGCAGGCTCTGAACCAAAATGTCGCAGGTTCGATTCCCAGTCAGGGTACATGCCTGGGTTGCAGGCCATGAACCCCAGCAACCACACATTGATGTTTCTCTCTCTGTCTATCTCTTTCTCTCCCTCCCTCCCTCCCTCTCTCTCCCTCCCTTCCCTCTCTAAAAATAAATAAATAAAATCTTTTAAAAAATATTTTTGAATAAGGGTATAATGAAAACAGTTCTACTTAAGGAACATTAATCTGGTGAAATAAAGTTCAATGAGCAAGGAAATCTGAACTCTCTTTTTGCACTCTAGATGTAAGCTGAAGGGGCTTGTATTGGGCTCTTATTTGAGAGAGGAGAAAGTGTTAGGAACGAGAGTCATTTTTTTAGGAAAGTTGTTAAATGTAGTTGCTACCATGACATGAAATTCTAAAAAGCATTTTTGAAATTTGATAGTTAGGAACCAGATGTGACATTGAACTTGGGAGAGAGAATTCTTTTGAGGAGATAGATGGAAGAAAAATCAAAGAATGCCACAACTTTATATGCCAGATCTGAAGCTAGTTATTTCCATTTGATTTGTGATTTTTTTAGCAATCCTTCAGAATTGGTGCTAATTATGTGAATTTTTCCAAATGAAGGGAAAAGAGACTCGAATATTACAAACAGATACTCAGAGCCACACAGTTATATAAGTACAGACAGCAAGATTGAAACACAGGCTTGTCTGTCTCTAGGCTAGTTCTCTCAAAGAGAATTGGAGAAATTGCTTGCTCACTGTGCTGTGTGACCAACTCCCTTACACTTGGGCAATATGTTCATAACGTGCCTCCTCCCACTAGGGCTTGATGGCAAGCTCTCTGTTTGTGGTTAGACCCCTGGTACTTAGAACTGTGCAAGGCAAATTGTAAGCATTCGATGAATATTTTTTAACCTGTAAAAATATAGAAATGAGCAAATAACAAGTCATAGAACTGGCAGTAGAACCCAAGCCTCTTTATTAATGTTTCCCTTACTTGTCAC